CTCGATTTTCCCCTCCCGACCTTGATAGGAGCCGCTCCGGGGCACCCCGTCCCCGTTGCACCCTGCTCCGGGGCACCCTGTCACCCCAAACCTGCCCCATCCCCATTGCACCCTGCTCTGGAGCACCTTGTCACCCAAGCCCACTCTGTCCCCATTGAACCCTGTCGCCCAAACCCACCCCGTCCCCATTGCACCCTGCTCTGGAGCACCTTGTCACCCAAACCCACTCTGTCCCCATTGAACCCTGCCACCCAAATTGACCCTGTCCCCATTGCACCCTGCTCTAGGGCACCCTGTCATCCCAAACCCACCCCGTCCTCATTGCACTCTGTCACCCAAACCCACCCCGTTCCCATTGCACCCCACTCTAGGGCACCTCATCACCCAAACCCACCCTGTTCTGGACCACCCTGTCACCCAAACCCACCCTGTTCCCATTGCACCTCACTCTAAGGCACCCTGTCACCCCAAACCTACCCCGTCCCCATTGCACCCTGCTTCGGGGCACCCCGTCACCCCAAACCCACCCCGTTCCCATTGCACCCTGCTCTAAGGCACCCTGTCACCCACATCCACCACCTTCCCATTACACCCTGCTCTAGGGCACCTCGTCACCCAAACCCACCCCGTCCCCATTGCACCCTGTCACCCAAACCCACCCTGTTCCCCATCGCACCCCGCTCCGGGTCACCCCGTCACCCAAACCCACCCCGTGCCCATCGCACCTGCGACCGCCCTCCAGGGACGGATACGTCCCCTTGGGGACAGACGTGACCCCTTGGGGCTGGATACGGTGCCTCGGGGACAGACGGGGTCTCACAGGGTCTTGGGGACAGATACAGGCCCTTAGGGACGGAGGTGGCCCCCCTCAAGGACAGATGTGACCCGTTGGGGACAGACATGACCTCCCCTGGGTGCAGATATGTCGCCTTGGGGATGGACGTGACCCCTTGGGGTTGGATACGGTGCCTCGGGGACAGACGGGGTCCCTCGGGGGTCGGATGCGGCCCGCTGGGGACAGATGCGACCGCCCTCCAGGGACGGATACGTCCCCTTGGGGACAGACGTGACCCCTTGGGGCTGGATACGGTGCCTCGGGGACAGACGGGGTCTCACAGGGTCTTGGGGACAGATACAGGCCCTTAGGGACGGAGGTGGCCCCCCTCAAGGACAGATGTGACCCGTTGGGGACAGACATGACCTCCCCTGGGTGCAGATATGTCGCCTTGGGGATGGACGTGACCCCTTGGGGTTGGATACGGTGCCTCGGGGACAGACGGGGTCCCTCGGGGGTCGGATGCGGCCCGCTGGGGACAGATGCGACCGCCCTCCAGGGACGGATACGTCCCCTTGGGGACAGACGTGACCCCTTGGGGCTGGATACGGTGCCTCGGGGACAGACGGGGTCTCACAGGGTCTTGGGGACAGATACAGGCCCTTAGGGACGGAGGTGGCCCCCCTCAAGGACAGATGTGACCCGTTGGGGACAGACATGACCTCCCCTGGGTGCAGATATGTCGCCTTGGGGATGGACGTGACCCCTTGGGGTTGGATACGGTGCCTCGGGGACAGACGGGGTCCCTCGGGGGTCGGATGCGGCCCGCTGGGGACAGATGCGACCGCCCTCCAGGGACGGATACGTCCCCTTGGGGACAGACGTGACCCCTTGGGGCTGGATACGGTGCCTCGGGGACAGACGGGGGCTCACAGGGTCTTGGGGACAGATACAGGCCCTTAGGGACGGAGGTGGCCCCCCTCAAGGACAGATGTGACCCGTTGGGGACAGACATGACCTCCCCTGGGTGCAGATATGTCGCCTTGGGGATGGACGTGACCCCTTGGGGTTGGATACGGTGCCTCGGGGACAGACGGGGTCCCTCGGGGGTCGGATGCGGCCCGCTGGGGACAGATGCGACCACCCTCCAGGGACGGATGTGTCCCCTTGGGGGTGGACGTGACCCCTTGGGGTCGGATACAATGGCTTGGGGACGGACGGGGTCTCACGGGGCCTTGAGGACAAACGTGACCCCCTCAGGGACAGATGTGACCCTTCGGGGTCAGATGCAGCCTGTTGGGGACAAGTGTGACCCCCCTTGGGAGCAGACATGTCCCCTTGGGGACAGACCTGACCCCTCGGGGTTGGATCCAGCCCCCTGGGGTCAGACACGGCCCCTCGGGGACAGCCATGGCCCTGTGGACACCCGCAGCGACCGTGGGGACCAGATGTGGCCTCTCACGGGACCTTGGGGACAAAAGCAACTCCTCGGGGACAGACGCAGCCCCTCAGGGGACCTTGGGGACAGTCGTGGCCCTCTCTCACCTCAGCATCCAGGTGTCGTAGTCGATGTCTGTCATGGTGTTGGGGAACTCCAGGTCCTCCGGGCGGATGGCGGTGACACCTGTGGGGACAGTGGCACTGGCAGGGGACATGGGGACACCCCAGAGTCCCGCTCCGGGTTTGGGGGGTGGGAACGACGCCAGAGAGGACGCGGGGGGACGGTGTCCTCCCTTGCCTCGAAAGGGCTGGCGGTGGGGGGCCAGCGGCACCGTGGGGACCCATTCGGCCCCGGCGGGAGCCCGGCTGTCCCC